AGAGAAAGCAGCCATGCAGATACCCACTGGTGGCATTTCACTTAGTGGGTAAGTTTTGAGCCTGTATTATGTTCTAGGCACTCTATTTGCTCCAGATACAAACATCCCAAAAAAGTTTACAGAAGAAACAGTTTTCCCGGTGACCTACTTCTATCATGCAGCTAAGGAGCACTTTTTGCCAAACTAGACAGTAAGACATGGAGCCAAGAAGACTTAACATTGCACCATTAAACATATTTTGGCAAGACAAGGGGATCCGGCTTCCATGAGCTGAACTGGCAAAAGTATTAGAGAAAGAAGACATTTCTTGGGAGTAACCTGAGAAACACTTTGGCACTGACATTTAAAGGAAAACAGAGGATAAAAGAAGCTTCAGGCTAGGGAGTGGTCACTAATAAGTCAAACAGCATGACAGCCTCTGAATCAGCTGAGGTGCAGAAAAGCTTCATACTATCCACAGAAGGATCCCATCCCAGCAGCCAGCAGGACACAGAAAGGAAACATTTTATTCCAATTTTTGATAAAATTTTATAGTAGAATAGACAAAAGGGCTTCCTCTTTTAAAGCGAGGTGCTTTAGGAATTAAATTATCAATAAATATGAGTGGCAGAACAGAACAAATATTGGGTCTCAAGTTGGACACCTCTGAGTTTAAACCCAGTTCCATTAGAACTTATTAAATGTGTGACCTTAGACAAGTTATATTTGTCAGCCTCTGTATCCTCATCTGGGTAAAAAACATACAACACCCATTGTAATAGACTCCTAAGATGATGGCCATAAATTCCATGCACATGCATGCTGCTCCAGCCATGAAGAGGTGTAGTCTTTACTCCCCTTGAATCTGGACTGGAGCTGTGATTTGCTTTTACCAATAAATGAGGCGGAAGTGAACTGCACAACTTCCCAGGCTGAGCTTCAAGAGATCTGTAGGTTCTGCTTTTGTGTACTTGCAATACTCCCTCTTGACCCCAGCTGTCCTGTTATAAGAAATATAAACCATGTGGAGAGCCATGCAGAGAGAACCTCTGCATGCTAGCTGACAGCCCCCCACTGAGGTCTTGGCTAGCCACATGAGTGAGCCACCAGACGACTGCAGCCCCACCTAACAACACACAGAGCGGAAGACCTGCCCTGCTGAGTCCCGTAGAGGTTTGTTAAAAACAAAGTCATGGACAGAGACTCACAAAAATGAGTTAGTGTAATCCATAACATCAACAAGCCAAAAAAGAAAAACCAATGGTCTTATCAATACAGGCACAAAAAGCATTCGACAAAATCCAACACCCATTTACAAATAACTCTCAGCAAACTAGAAATAGAAGGGAACTTCCTCAACTGGATTAAGAACACTTACAAAAAACCTACAGTGAACATCATACTTAATGGTCAGAAAGCTTTCCTGCTAAGACCAGGAGAAAAGGCAAAAGTGTCCCCTCTCACCACTCCTTTTCAATATCATAATGGAAGTCCTAGATAGTGCAATAAGAAAATGAAATAAAAGGTATACAAAATGGAGGGCACCTGGATGGCTCAGTCAGTTAGGCATCTGCCTTTGGCTCAGGTCATGATCCCAGGGGCCTGGGATTGAGCCCCACATAGGGCTCCCTGCTTAGCAGGGAGCCTACTTCTCCCTCTCCCTCTGCCATTCCCCCTGCTTGTGCTCTCTGGCTCTATCTGTCAAATAAATTAATAAAATCTTAAAAAAAAAAAAAGTATACTGAATGGAAAGGAAGAAATAAAATTGTCTTTGTATGCAGATAATACAAATAGCTATGTAGAAAATCCGAAGAATCTACAAAAAAACTGCTGGAACCAATAAGTGATCATAGCAAGGTTACAGGATACAGGATTTATATGCAAAAGTCAATTACTTTCCTATAGATCAGCAATGAACAAGTGAAATTTACAATTAAGAACACAATACCATTTATGTTAGCACCCCAAAAAGTGAAATACTTAGCTATAAATCTAACAAAATACATACAAGTTATATGTTAGGAGAACTAGAAAACTCTGATGAATAAAAAAAAAATCGAGATATTCCATGTTCATGGATAGGAAGACGACTCAATATTGTTAAGATGTCAGTTCTACTCAACTTCATGTATAGATTCAATGCAATCCAAATCAAAATCCCAGCAAGTCCCTTTTGGATACTGACGACATGATTCTAAAGTTTATATGGAGAGGCAAAAGATCCAGAATAGCCAACACAATATTGAAGGAGAAGAACAAAGTCAGAGTCATCCAATTTTAAGACTTACTATGAAGCCTCAGTATCCAAGAGCCTGTGGCATTGGTGAAAGAACAGACAAATAGAGGAATAGAAAGCCAAGTAAAAGACCCACATAAATTCAGTAAACTGACCTTTGACAAAGGAGCAAAGGTAATACAACACAGGAAAGATGGTCTTTCAAACAATGTTGGACCCAGACATCCACATTCAAAAAAGTAAATCTAGATGCAGATTTTACACACTTGATAAAAATTAACTGAAAATGGATATTATAGATCTAAATATAAAATGCAACACTACTGAACTCTTAGAAGATAACATAAGAGAAAATCTAGAAGCCCTTGGCTCTAGGAAGTACTTTTTAGATACCCAAGACACAACGTATGAAAGAAACAATTGGTAAACTGGACTTAACCAAAATTTAAAATATCTGCTCTGGGCGCCTGGGTGGCTCAGTTGGTTAAGCGACTGCCTTCGGCTCAGGTCATGATCCTGGAGTCCCGGGATCGAGTCCCACATCGGGCTCCCTGCTCAGCAGGGAGTCTGCTTCTCCCTCTGACCCTCCCCCCTCTCGTGCTCTCTATCTCTCATTCTCTCTCTCTCAAATAAATAAATAAAATCTTAAAAAAAAATAAAATAAAATAAAATAAAATAAAATAAAATATCTGCTCTGTAAAAGACACTGTCAAGAGAATAAGGTGACAAGCCACAAGCTGGAAGAAAATATTTGCAAAAATCATTATCCAAAATATACAAAGAACTATTAAAACTCAAGAATAAGAAAATAAACAATCCAATTAAAAAGTGGGCAAAAGACCTGAACACCTCACCAAAGAAGATTAGATATATATGGCAATGAGCATATGAAGATGCTCCATATCACATGTCATCTGGGAAATGCAAATTAAAACAATGAGATACCACTACACCCCTACTAGAATGGCGAAAATCTGGAATACTGACATCCATTTATGGAAAAGACTACTGATTGGCTGCTAATATCCATTCTTTCCTCCTCCATTTATGGAAAAGACTAGCTGCTAATTCTTTCCTCCTCTATAATAGAACCTTTGAATTTAGCTGGATAAATGGGACTTCCAACCAAAGATTACATTTACTTGCTCCCCTCACAGTTGATGTGGCTACAGGACTGAGTTCTAGCAAATGGTATGTCAATGGATATGATGTAAGCAACTTTCAAGTCATACTCAGAAAAGAAGAGGGCTTATCCTCCCCTTCCCTTCCCTTCCATCCTCCCTTCTGGGAGAAAAGTGAACATGACAGCTGGAGCTGAAGCAGCCACCTTACATCATGAGGTGAAGCCACATGACGAAGATGGCAGAGGGACATGGTAGAAGGAGCCAGGCTCTTTGATGCTGTCTGGACACCATATGAGCCTTGGAACAGTTATATTGGAGGCTGTGTTTCTGCTGCCAAGCCTGTCTTCAAAGTAATATACCATCTCGTAGGGCTGTTGTAAAGTTCGAACGAGACAAGGTACATGTAGTATCTAATATGGTGCCTGACACAGAGCAGGGTTGGCTCCCCCACATGGGAGCTCAGAGGCTCCAGCAGGGGAATACAACTACTTGGCCAGCCCGGACAAAAGAACATTCCTCATCTACTGTAGATGGTCTGTTTCTGCACCCAAGCCCATGGCTTTGAGTGGGACATATGTAGAATGGGAGAAAAATCAATCCTGGGGATGCATATCAAAATCAGCCCCAGTGATCCATAAGGAGGTAGGTGTGTTTAGAGCAGAGCACTCTCACCTGTGCTTCTCCAAATCCACATGTGCTTTACCATCTTAAGTGACTTTTCAGCATACTCTCCTGCCAGACTCCACACATAAATAATGAAATGTCTTTCACAGTCTTTCCCTGCTTTCTGATCTAAGCTCACCTCCTACCACTGTCCCCTCACATTCTATACTCCAGTCCCACCGAGTGGTTTGTAGCTGCCAGACCATGCTATGCTTCCTCACACCCCAAAGTTCTGTCCCTTTGCCTACAAACTCCTCTTTCCACAGATCCTCTGACATCTTCCCTACTTGGCGGGCTCCTGTTCTGTCTTACGACAAAATCGTCGTAAGTAATCATCATCCCCTCTAAGAAACTGTCCCTGATTACGGGAGAGACCATCATGGTCCCTCCTCATTTCTTTCTTCCGTTCTTCCATGACATGGGAAGTCTGAGTGGCGCACGGCCACCAAGCTAAAGATGATGTTTCTCAGCCTCCCAGGTGTGTCCATAAGTCCTGGCACTGGCCAACTGGGGGTGAGCAGAAGTGATAAGGGTAACTTGCTGAGCTCCCCTTAAAGGACAGGAGGATTCTCACCCCCCTTCCTATGGGCTGGAATGTGGATTTGGTGATGATTCTTCTTCAACAAGATTACAAAGCACTAAGACACAGCAGAACAAAAGGACAAAGGAGTCTAGGCCTCTAATACTGTGAGCTGCCTCCACATGTCTGAGAGCAATGATGATGGAAGAGAGATGGAAGAGGTTACTGCACATCACCTCCACAGCCTTCAATAGCCATTGAGTCAAACCCTCCTCTTACAGGATCCACTCCAAGATCCAGGATTGGGGTGGAAAATTGCACTGACTCAGATCATGGACTCAAAGTCCCACAGAGGGGAAAGCAAAGCAGGGGCCAAGTCATCCCCAGCCCATTAGATAATCTTCCTGAATCTTCTACCTCTGAGCACTTCTTTCCTCCTTCCTTTCTTGATAGAAGGTCAGGAAAGTTGGGGCCTTACCTCTGGAAGCTTTGTAAACTTCATAGAAAGAATATAAGTGGAAGCCTAGTGAAGCAAACAGGTAAAAAGACAGTTCCCATCGGGGCAGCATTGTTCCTTGTGACAAATCGTCCAGGCAGACACACTGAGAGTTTCTAGAAAGAGAAACAGAAATAAAGACAGTAAGCCATAGACATGACACTAGGAAACAGAGCATCGTATCAGTTCACTTGCTCTCTCAAGGACCCATCACTACTTCAGGCGATACAGATATGACACCAGTTATACTTCCTTCTGCCAGTGACCTTATGCATCCTGCATCCAAAATACACGCACACGTACAAACACGCACACGTACATGCACACGCCCTGCCTTCCTTGGGATGGGCAGGTCTTCCCTATGAGCTCCCACAGCCCCCCATCTGCCTCTCATCAGAGTGCACACCAGACAGTCATGTGCTCAATGCCGGACACGCCTGCCTCCCCCTGTGGGGTGGGCCTTTGGAGAGCAGGGACCATGATCTCTGAGTCCCCAGTACCCAACACAGGGTGTAGAATGTAGCGAGAGGGGACTAGTGTTCCATGAATAATAAATGGCTTTAAATCCTGAATAGAAGAAAAGTACAGATCATCTCCAAACCCGTTCTAAGCCAACAGCCTTAACCTCCTGGTTCTCCCCTTCAAATGTCATCCCATAGTTGTTTACATGAGTAGGTGAATGAAAACCGCCGTCTTCCATCTTACGTAAACTTCTTAAAGGGAAGTGATAACCTGACCCCCAGCAGCTGTGGCAGATCCCACAATATTTAGTCCCCCTTCTTACCCAGTAATGGAATTTTTATCTGAAGGCATGGATGCTAAGCTCAACTATATAGCGTAGCCAAGTGTGGGCATTTGAATAGCTCTGGCTGTAAGGCTGTGGCCATGCCCTTCCTGGTGGCCAGAGCTGGGACAGCCACCTCGGGCCAAGAGGTGAGAGCCATGTGGGAAAAGAAGATCGAGGAGCCTCCGTCCCTGACTCCATGTACCACCCCACCCCCAAAACTGCCCCAGACCATTTATATCTGGACTATTACATGAAAGAGAAATGCACTTCCAGGTTGTTTAAGCCTCTGCTATTCTCGATCTCTCTCTTACGCCAGCCATGTCTATAATCTAAGTATTACAGCAGGTGATAGGAAGTCCTAAAATTCTGCAAATTAAATAATCAACTCCCCAGTAACAAAGAGTTAAATGCTCTCAATGCTTTACTTAAGCCTCTCAAATATGTCTCACTGTGGATGCCAAATTCAAATAGGAGCAAATTTTAAGGCCCATGCAAGCACTTCTCAGATAGGACAGTAATGCCAAGAATCAGAATTCACACATCTCATTTTATTTTCACAACACCTAGTGAAGAAGGTGGAACGAGAGAGAGAGGCATTTTACAGAGGACAAATGTGAAGAATAAGGCCACACCGTCAGAAATAACTGAGCCAGTGCTCAAATCCAGGTCTTGGGACCACCGAGACTCCATGCCTCCCCTCAGCCAGAGCCAGCTCCATTAATGCCAGTTTACAAAGTTACTTGTCCCTACAGCCTGGCTCATAATCCACTACGCACAAACTCGTCTCTTCAAGCTAAGAGAGACAGAGCAGAAAAAGATGCAAACTTTGGCTTTCATAAAATAGGTCAGAAGTCAGTGGTCCTCCACCCAGAGTACCTACTGGTCATGACCTAAAAGTTGCTCAGGCAGTTTAGTCTCCGGCAACCTAAGGGATCCAGAGGCAGGCACTTAACGTTTTCAATCCCAAACACTCTCAAGCCCTTAACAACACCTTCTCAGGTCCCCCTGCTATTTTTCAGAACCATTTCTAGCTTTAAACATTTCTACTCACACTTTATTTTTAAATGCCTGGCATCTCCTAGAATACCTGAGAATTTCTTTGTGGAATTTTGTGGGAATAGCATAGTCTTCCCGTTAGTGGGAAGTTACCTTTAACCTCTGGGTTTTATGTGTCTCCTTTCAAAGGATGTTGGTATATTGGATGGCCTCCTCACCTCCATTTAGAATATGTGATTAGCAAAGTCCCCTAAAAATGCTACTGAAATGTGAACATAATCTTAAGAGATGAAATGAAAGTTATAGAAGCCCTGCTATTTAGAAGCTTTCCAGGGACATTCTCTTCTAGGACAATTCCTCTGCATTAATTAACTGTGGGAAACCAAAAAATTCAGTGTTAAAACGTTTCCCTTTCTGGTGCTCTTAGCTATATTGTGCCCGTTTTGCAGACACCTACACAAAGATACATACTAACCAGCAACAAAGCAGCAGAGCTGAATCTTCACATTTAAAATGTGGGGACTGGACCAAATAGCCTCCATCTGACAGCATGCTAGGAAAGCCTGCATCAAGCAGATGGGGGCAGGGGCGTGCGGGGGAGAGTCAGAGTGGGAGAGGGGAGGGCAGTTCTGCCATTTACTGGTAGAGGAACTTGAGTGGGTCACAACCTCGTAGATAGGTTTCCTCACAGGGTTGTTGAATTAAAATTTAATGTAAAATGCTTATCTAAGGCCTGGCACCAAGTAAGTGCCCCCAAAATATTAGCTATGATCTGTCCAACAGGTCCAGTTAGTGAATTTAATTCATCAGAAGCCTACCTCACCAAAGCTCTGGTTGTCTTCCTGATCTGATGAGATTTCACAGACTCTCCGCGTGGCATGGCCATCCCACCTGCTGCCAGGCTTCCTTCAGCAGAAGGGCATCCCCAGAGCTCTCACTCAGGTCTCACGTGTTGTCCACACCCCAACCCAACCCCAGGCCACCCCGAAAGCAAACAAACAGTTGCCCCCCCCCTTGGGGGTCACCTGGACAGCCTTCTGCCCAGCGTCTCTTCTTCACCACTTCTTTGCTTACCCCCAAGGGAATGATATGCATATTCCCACTTGTGTTGTTTCATCACTCACAGTCCCGGGAATGCCACCTCAAAACACCACCACCACAGACACTCACATGTCATCCTTAACAGATCTTTCTTCCCGGGGCGCCTGGGTGGCTCAGTTGGTTAAGCGACTGCCTTCGGCTCAGGTCATGATCCTGGAGTCCCGGGATCGAGTCCCACATCAGGCTTCCTGCTTAGCAGGGAGTCTGCTTCTCCCTCTGACCCTCTTCCCTCTCATGCTTTCTATCTCTCATTCTCTCTCTCTCTCAAATAAATAAAATCTTTAAAAAAAAAAAAAAAAAAAAAAACAGATCTTTCTTCCCTACGCCTCTCTTTTCAGCTCTTGCCCACCTATCTCAAGAAAATTCCTCTCCCCAGTGTTTTCTTCTGTATTCATTTCAGTGTGGCCTCAGAAAGCAAATCAGAGTAGGTATGTTTAAAGGATTCAATGACCCAACAGTATCAAAGAAAAGGCAAGTTGGACATTGGGGAATATAACTAGAACTTTTAAGTGTCCAAACCTATAAAGGTTCCTAAATACTCAGAAAATTCTCAAGTTTCTATTTCTCCTTCTCTAAACAAGCATGCTCTTCTTTAGGGATAGGCTATCATGATAAAAATCAAAGAGGTCCTTACTCAAATGTGTAAGTAATGCTTCTTTTCTGTTGTTCATGCACAGATCCCACCCTGCAATAGCATTATCAGCTTAGTGGGTATCTGCGAGACAGCCCAGAAGCTAATCACCATTTGTAAATTACTTCTACAGGAAAAGCCAATGGATAGCAGTACAGCCTGTGTTTAACTAAATGCCTACCTGATTAATCTATATAACTGAGGCTGTACCATTGATATGTGAGAGCTAAGAAGAGATGCCAGGATGTGTGATGGGAAAGGGATGGGTCTGAGAAGTCTGCCGCCTTAGTGGGAATACTGGCCAGGACTGTGAAGAAGTACAAATGTAGATAGTGGAGGGGGAGGGAGAGCAGGAGTCATGTGGCAGAGGGTCTTAAACATAAAGTGTTACAAGTTTGGATTTGATTCGCTGAAGAAACCTCAGGCTTATGAGCCAGTACATTTAACTATTTGAATGAAGCTTCAGGAAGTGTGGTAATCTAAAGGCAGGAAGGGCAGCAATTCGCGAGGAAGTAGAGAGAAAGTGCTAGATCCAAGCAACACAAAGAAAAATTAAGTCATACCTGACAGGAAACCAGTCCAGGAAGCAGTAGGATTGAAAAAGAAAACAATAACAGCAACTCCAAAGCTGTAAGATCACAGTATCTCAAAACTAAATGTTATTGACAAGAGAAGAATATTTGAGGTAAATGAAGACAGAGAGAAAGTACATTTAATATTAGGTGTTAGAAGGAAATCATAGCAGGTTCCTCTGAGATCAAAGGGAAAGAAGTCAGACTGGAGTAACAAGGAATTTTACCTACATATTGGGGTGTAAAAGCCCCTGAGGCTGGGTATTTCAAAAAAGTATTTATCTGGGGATTACAGAACTCAAGAGGCCCACAGAATAAAATCCTAGCTGTAAAATGGCAGCTAACAGAGTTTTTTCCATACTGAAGAAACATACATTTGCATTCACTTTGTAATTTAACACTCCACCTGCTTTCAAAGATATCATCTACTCTACTCACCAGGAGGGCTAACAGTTAGCTCTTTTTCAGGAATCAGAATCCTGCTCAGGGAAAGGCAGCGATCTGCCCAAGCACACAGAGAAGCCAGTGATGGAGCAAAAACCAGAACCCAACTTCCCAGCTCCCACTCTTTCACAGGCAGAAATCCTGTTCCTTGGCAGAGAGGCACAGTTCACTATGCCAAAGCCAAAAATGTGCATAAACATAACTTCTGTAATTTCCCCCAGCAATTTCCAATATCACTTCAAATGTATCTTTATTTTTGATGCATGCTACAAATGGATTCCAAACACTTCCATTTTAAATGTTTTCTACTGCTTGGTCTTGATATATCCAGTGTGAATGAGCTATAACCACACACCAACATGCACCAGAGGACTTTCAAAACAGCACTCAGCACTGAGCTAATAATCCTTAGGTACCAGCATCATCATTGTTACTTCTACCAATTAACGGTTGCTCAATGTCCTAAACTGAAATTTTCCTCTACTTAGTTTTCTTATACTTTAGTAACAGCTGTACTATAATAAGTGCTATTTATAGGCTACCTATGCTAAGCAAGCACTTTACAAGTATTATCTCATTTAATCTTCATAACAACTTTTTAAGGTTGGTACTTTTGGTACCCTCATTTAACACAAAAGAAAACCAAAGCCCAGAAAGGTCAAGAAACTTGCCCCAGATCACCCAGCTGGTAAGCAGCAGAGCTTAGCTTCAGATCCACCAAGTCTCATTCCAGAGCCTTCCCTTAGCCACCTCCCTATTCTTACGAGATTCATTTTTTTCAATGTCTATGATGAAATCAATCCATTAGGAAAGCTAGAAGGTTATACAAGCTACATACAAGCAAAAGAAAATTTTAAAGTTACGTGTAATTTAGATGCTCCCTAGGAAGAAAATTTGTAAATCAACTAGATGTAATCAAAACACACATGAACCATCTAACTCATACTTTCCTCTTTTTTTTTTTTAAAGATTTTATTTATTTATTTGAGAGAGAGAGAATGAGAGATAGACAGCACGAGAGGGAAGAGGGTCAGAGGGTGAAGCAGACTCCCTGCTGAGCAGGGAGCCCAATGTGGGACTCGATCCCAGGACTCCAGGATCATGACCTGAGCCGAAGGCAGTCGCTTAACCAACTGAGCCACCCAGGCGCCCTAACTCCTACTTTCCTTAAAAGATTGACTGAAGATGACAAACTAAATCAATTTACTCAGATATAAGAAGGGAAAGTCAGCAGTTACACAGAGATAAGGGCTGAGTAAAATTGAAATGATTCTAAATTTAGGAACAAACGAACACTCTGGAAATCACAAAGTAAGAAAAGCAAAAAGAGCACACGTACACTGAACTGACAATGGCTTTGAAGAGAAGCAAAGAGTAGGGCGATATTCTAGCACATTTGGAAAAATTAGGAGACTTGCTCCTTTCTAGGGTCCAATTTGATGAAACAAACTTATTTTGCAGAATACAAATTGGAGAACTCTCACGAGGAAACCCAAACCCCGACACACTGTGTCCTCTCACATCAGTTTTCTCCAAACCCTACTCAGGAGTCTTACAAAGAGTCTTCTTCTTTTACTATGTAATACTAACAAAAAACACTTCTCCAAACCCAGAAAGGCTTCACTAACACGGAGCGATGATTGGGTGGGTTGGAGGAGGTCCACTGGACTGGGCAGAACGTCTAATTACAGAATATTTTAAAATACATGCACTACTTCCAAACATGCACCAAAATACCATGTATCAGTTATGTCTCACTGCACCATAAACCACCCAACACATAGTGGCTTAAAACAACAAAGATCCATTTTCTTCGTGATTCTGTGGGATGGTGATGTGGGCCATTCTCCTGATCTTACCTGGCATCACTCTCGTAACTCAGTAACTGCACAGCACAACAGGGACTGGAGGGGCCGAGAGGACCTCACCCACACCTAGCAGTAGGTGCTAGCTTCTCCTCTAGGCAGGTCTGACCCTTCACAGCACGGTGGCTTCGGGGTTTCAAAAGAACAAAGACCGAAGGGGCAAGGTCTCTTAAGGACCAGGCTCCAGAATTCATGGAACATTTTTTTGGTCAAAAGACCAGTTCAGATCCAAGCAGGAAGAGAAGAGTGATTCCATCTCATTACGAGAGAGCACACAGCAAGGGCACCTTCAAAGGGGGCAGGGACACAGCCTACCACTCCAGTATGTGAGAGTCACTAATACATAAATTCTGGAAAGTTAGTGGGAAAACTGCAGTTCACAAGGGAGCTTTAGTACATAAAATGTCACAAAGGTTGATTATTTGTATATGAAAAAAATAGTTATGTCCCCCAGGCCAGAATTTCAAAATCAGTAAGGACCCTACTGTCATCTGATCTAATCTCTAGCCAGTTTGGGAATTTCTTTTACAATAACCTACCTGACCATTTCCAGTAACACCAAGAGGCAGAGAAACCTTTTCTAAGCAGTTCTGATTATTATCCTGTTGTTTCCTCAAACTGAGCCAAAAACTGCCCCCCTCTGTTTTTAAAAAACTTTCTGCCACTAGTCCAACTGTACCTCCCGGAACTAAAGGCATGGAGGCAGGGTAATGCAATTATTTAGAGATGGCTGTGGAGCCAAAGTTCGAATCCCAGCTTTGCTACTTCCTAGTTGTATGCCCTAAGTAGCATAACCTCTGTATGCCTCAATTTCCTTATGTATAAACAGGGATAACAGTCAGAGGGTTGCTATAAGGATCAGATGAACTTACAAAGTGATAGAACAGTGCCTGGGGCACAGTAAGTTCTAAAATGCTATTTTTTTTTTGTTTTTAATGTTATTGCTATTATACTAAAAAGACAATTATTCTCTCCAATAATACTCCTTCAAATATTTGAAGATAATTAATGCCATACACTCCATCCCAAGCCCTCTTCCAGGACAAACATCCATGATTCCTTCAACCATTTCTTCAGTGACCTAGTTCCTAGACCCTTTACCATTCAGTCAGTTGTCTCTTTATAGTAGAGGTATCTAGACCTGAACCTAAAACTCCAGACGTGGCAGAGAGTACGGCAAGACCGTCACTTCTATTCTTCCAGAAACTGTACTTTAAATAATGAAATCTAGATGCAGTTCTTCATTCAACAAGTATCAGTGAGCTCCTACTGAGACTGAGGGAACTGTGTTATTTGTGAAGACAAAATATAAAATCCCATCTGGGAAAGCCCTCAAATGTGTTAATCCCTGGAACCT